CTTTGTATGTGAGATGAACGTATAAGGCGCGATTCTTGCCAAAACTTTCTTCGCAAAACACCGCATTCGGATCGGTCACAAAGAGCGAGCAATGTCGCGTCTCTCGTCCCCAGTTTCCATGGTCTACGCATGGAACGCCTGGGACCGTGATTCACCCTTTTGGCGACCAAACGCTAGCATTTCAAGACTCGGGCTTTCCTACGGAAGCCCAAGTAATAAGGGGAAACTTCACTTTATAACGATTCGATACTGTAAGACTTTTAAATCTTACAGGATTAAAAACATGTATGGGTATAAAGTGGTTTAATAGAAATTTCAGGAATTAAAAGAGGTATACGTTAGCTGTAAACTCTTTTGTACAATACTTCAAGATTGGTTTTTCCGTCCTCTAATTACCGCTTGCTAAGGTTTTCGACCTTTGAGCGATACAAACGGTACAAACGTTGATGAATAACTGGAAAAACCAGCTGAATTCCGAAACTGAGTGAAATTTTTAAAAAAAAACATCTTGAAATCTGAAAGCCAACATCCGGCGAAATCAGACGTCAGTTAGTGAAACAGAAAGCTACAACCTCATGGCCAAAAAACAGAATATCGAAAATGGATTTGGAAAACGAAATCTAAACGTCAAATGCGAATATATATCTGTCAATGTCGAGAGTAAGAAATCCTGAAAATAGAATAAAGCCTATAGATTTCAAAATTAAGCGGCGAAGTTCTAAATTCCATATGTTGGTAGAGGAACACTGATTTCTTAGCTTATTGCGGAAAACAAGAAAACGCGTCACTTTGGTAAGTCATATTAATTAGATGTTACATATTAGCAATACTATTCGCATACATCAATAGTAAACACACGGAAAGGAATTCTCATGCACAGCAAGTGCCATTTCATTTCGGAACGAACACGGAAAGTTCGCATAACAAACTTTACAGAAATGAAAACGAATTACCGATAAGCTATCTTTCAAAAAACGGAATATTTAAAGACTTTTACATCAGAGTCTTAATGCATTTTAGGATAGGACATAATCTGGTCAGTTGTATAATTTTTCAATGTATTTCAGTTATTCAGAACGTCCAAAGACTAGCTTTCTCCAACTGATTGATTGGTTCTGGTTTTAACATGTACAGGTCGAGTTGAGAAGAAAATTGTCACAAACCCTTTGAAACTGAACTATATTCCTTTAACATCGAAATTTCAACTGTGAATAATTTCATCACATCTTATGAAAAAAGGTAAGTTTTCTTTATTTCCTAAAAAAAAAAATTAACTTTTGCGAAGATTTCAGACTCTGCCGTTCTTGTTCTGGTTTTAAAATTTGATACACTCGATTTAGTCCTTGTCTTTGTCGGATAATTTAATTGCCAAGCGTATGCACTAAATGTATGAATCGGTTATTTGCAGGTTCAGTATTTTGGAAAAGTTTAACCAGGAAGTTCAAGAGTTGCTATTTTGGATCAAAAACCTGTAAGTAAGCTGCAATTGGAATTGAAATCAATCTGATTAAGAAAAAATTGAAAACTAAACTACAAATCTTCAAGAAAATCAAAATCTAAAGCTGAAAGGCCCATATTTATAAAACTTAGAAATGTCTACAGCTGACAAAATTCTACATTATTCCACTAGGCTGCAAAGAGACAAAGATCGCTTAGCTCACAGTCACTCCAGGAAAGAGATTTCAAAGAAACAAAGGCAACAGAAGTACTCCATTGCAAGTAAGTCGCTTTTTAC